GTGAGAGAGAGAGAGTGTGTCTGCAGAATTGTGTATATAAGAGGATTAGTGCAAAGGATATGAACATGTGTAATACCAGAGGTGGTAGCAGTAACTTTGATCCTGCTGTGATGGTAGAGACGGTTGTCACCACGCAAACACACACGCTACAAGCACACTCATCCGGTCCCTGCAAAACACGCACACACACACACACACACACACATGTAATGGTAGCAGGTGTGTTATAAACGTGTGTTGTCATCAGGTAGCCTGCACACTTTCTTTAAACATCCTTTATTGTGCTTTATTATTCATATATTTTATTATTTCTACATGTTATCATTCATATACTGTATTATTTATTTACGTGGTCTATAAACACTCGTCTTCATCCACAGTCGTGTTTTTAAACCATAAGTATGTGGACACAGATGTGTCTATCTCTGATTGGTTGGAGAACAAGTGGGCGAGTTAGTCTGTCTTCACTCTCTCTCTCTCTCGCCTGAGCAGGTGTGGCTGATCGGGAGGACACAGGAAGCAATAGACTTTCAAAATAAAACAGCAGCTGTGCTGTAAATAAAATGTTTGTGAAGTTTGAACAATTACTTATTGATGAAATGCTTTTATTGTGAAGTTAAGAAATGCAGACTTCCTGTTGAAAGTGAAAGAATTCACAAGTCATCAAGGTAAAAATGTACCTGGAGATGGAAACGTTGAACGTGATCGTGATCGTCCTGCTCGGTAAGAAAATACATCAATGTGAGGAGGAGGCGAACAGGTGAGGTGGAGGTGAAGAGGGAGGAGGCGAACAGGTGAGGTGGAGGTGAAGAGGGAGGAGGCGAACAGGTGAGGTGGAGGTGAAGAGGGAGGAGGTGAACAGGTGAAGAGGGAGGTGAACAGGTGAGGTGGAGGTGAACAAGTGAAGAGGGAGGTGAACAGGTGAGGTGGAAGTGAAGAGGGAGGAGGTGAACAGGTGAGGATGGAGGGGGTAAGGGGGAGGAGGAACAGTTTCCTGGAGATTGGTGGATGATCTCTTGTGTCTGTTTGTGTCCTCAGTTTCCCAGCATGCCTTGTGTGTGGAGGTGTATGAGGGGGCGGAGTCTGTCTTGCTGCCCTGCTACAGTGACGTCCCTAATGTGACTGGAGTCGTGTGGAGGAGGAACATAACCATCGTTCACGGTCAAACGCACGAGGGCGAAGACCGGCTGCGACAGGACCAGCGATACGTCAACCGAACATCGATGAGGGAGGACGCTCTGTGGAGCAAAAACTTCAGCCTCATTCTGACCAAACCCTCCGTTAACGACAGCGACAACTACACCTGCACTGCCAGATACCTTGGACAGGACCTGAACCAAACAGTCGTTCAACTGATGGTCAGAGGAGTAGATGCTCCTACAGGTCAGAGATCA